CTCTCTATCTGCTCTTATTTCTCCGCTTTATTAGCCGGGCTTATATACAAAAAAAATTACCCACGAGCAGCTCGCATGCATGCCTCATGAACCATTTAAATTATATCATTATTATTAATTATTTTACCTAATCTAGTCTTAAATAACTTAAAAAGATCCATATTTTTAGATTTTAGTTACTTTTTAATAATAAACAAATATCAAAACAAGAAATAAAGTACTTACCCAATCTTCTTTTTTCTTGCTCTCGGGTTTCTAAGAGAGTTAACCCTAATTTTTTATACTATAGATAGTAATGCACTTAATAATTTTTATTTAATTAAATAATGCACCAAAGAATATTGACTAATAACATGCAAAATGTAGACAAATGCACTTACCTCTCAAAACTTTCCTGGCTTTTTAACTATGCGACAGGAGCCATTACAAATTCATCCAAGCTAGTTGTTAACTTTCCCATGGGAACGAATCTTGTACTGTGAGTGAAATTGGTGATATTCTAATCAGAATACAACATTATACAATACATCATTTAATTGATGAAAACCTTGAATTTCTATTGATTATAGGTAATATATAATGAAATGTAAGAGAGAACTATCAACAAATTGTGAGAGAGAGAATGTGACAGGTTGGTGTGGCAGGAGGGGTCTGATTTTACATTTGATAGCTCTGTAACCAAACAAAATTGAAGGCTATAAAAATTATGGTTTATTTGAGGAATAACGATTTTATAGAGAGTATTTTACATTTAATTTTGTACATTTTCAAGGGGTGATGGATAAATTAGGGATGATGACATAGTGGGTCACACTAGTGGAAATTCAGGATTTTTTAAAATATTGCCTTCTATAATTAAGAAATTAAAACTTTTATACTATTAAAATATAGATTATTAGCTGTGATTTTATACTATTCTTAGTGGTATAACTTAAACAAAAAGTAGTTTAATAAAATTTTGAATGTAAGACACTAAAACCTTGTGTCATGCCAAGTAAAGGTGAGAGGGTTAAGAAGACATGTTATGGAAATGTTAAGAAATATGTTAATACTAAATTTTTTCCTATGGAGAACATTGAAATATATCTTTCTAGTGCTGTATTGTCACAGAAATGTAGAAAATAAGTTTCCTGTTGCTCTCTGTTTAAAATTTATAACTTTTGATTTATAGTGCAGCTTCAAGAAGTATTGAAAGAAAAGGAAGGGCTTAAAAACCAAAACCTGAAACAGGAATGGGATATAAAGCAGAAATCTGTGAGTTGTTGATATTAACTCTTTTTCAGCATGGGCTCGGTCCCTGGGACCAACCTTGTAACCATTTTGTGCTTGTTATAGTTTTTATGTTGTAACTTTTAAATTTAGTAAGTGTATGTTCAAGAAATTTGGCAGATTATCAGTAAACATTACAATGTTTTCATATGCAAGATATCAAATTTTTTTATTACGTCTTAAGGTTTGTTAAGCAATGTTTTTCTCATGCATTTTTTATCTTTTCCCATTTTGCTTATCTATCATGCAAAGTAATTTTCAGTTTAGGATTAAAAATACTTTTATGCATCAGAAAGTTTTCAAATTTCACATGTGAAATCTTTATAATGTCCAGATAGTAATCAAATGTTTCTTAAGAAAAAAAACTTTATAATTTATCTGTTATTTTCACTAATTAATAGATTTGACTGATCTTGTAACCACCATAAAAAAATAGTAAATGAATATAAATTATGCCTATTTTGTTCTAGAATAACAACAAATTATAACACAAAAACATAAATGTTTAGACTAAATAGCTTAAATCTCATAGCATTATACATTTATATATATGTATTTATTATTTTTACCTTTCAGCCGTGCCTGGCTAACAATACAGAAGTTACAATGATGCAGCACACGTGCCCTCATGTTACCTTTTCAAATATTATAAAACTGACCTTTAGTCTTTACAAAGTGACCTGTCTTGGCTGTGTTTTAGTAGACTAGTATTTTGTAAGATACAGTCACATTTCCATTATTATACATTATATATATATGTATATACATTATTACTGTTTTGGAAATAAGTATTTTAACTTATTTTTCTTAAAACATAGAACAATGAATAAAAAAAGTAAAGCAAACAATTATCTCTTCTAGTTACGACCTTTGCTGCTTGACATAAGTTTAAAATTTTGCACGTGGAGGATATGAAATTAAATAATTTTTTTAGGTTGTATATATACAGTTGAATAACCAAAAAATCATGAATTACTATATTGATACCATAGAATTCCACTATATTTTATAAATCTTAGTAACTAAGCTGTAATTGGGTCTAAAAAATTATGAAATTTCAAGTAGACTAAAGACACAACCTACCTCCTTGAAATCTTGGTTTGAAAGAAAGAAATGGTGTCCGAACACATGAAAATGGCTGAGAAAGCCACTAGGGGGACATTCTGAGTTTTTGAATGGTTTCACATATCATATGTTAAAGTAAGTGTATATAAGGGACCGTTTCCAAAAATGGAAAGAGTTGAGCGGGACCACTGTGTTTGATTCATATAATGAGTGATATATCAGCAAAGAGAAAAGATAGGAGGTTTTTATTTTATATTCTAGCTTGTCCATATCAGTAATTTTAGTTCCTAATTCATATAAAACTATTGATTTAGTATTTTGACATCAGACACATCTAATTTGAACCAGTGCTGCATTCAACATACCATATGACACACAAAAATCGATGTTTAACTGAATTTTTTTTTATATTTGCTTTTAAATTAAGAAATTAAATAATGTATAATACTAAAATTGAATTATAAT